TGAAATTCATCCTCAAAAATACAACTTGCCTAATAATTTTGCATGCAGTCTATTTGCCTTTCCAAATTGGGAGCTAGGATGGTTCTCTAGAATCAAATGATTAAAACCTGCTTTCAGTAACTTGCCCTTTACATTATGGATATCAGTGTCAAATTTAATCTCAAGGAATATGGTTTTTGTTCTACTACCTTCATTACATACATTTGGGTTTTCTATATCATTGCCTTGGTAATGGGTAGGCAACCTATGGAACTTTAAAGCTTAAATGAACATTTATACCAAAGCAAAGCAAAGCAAAAGCATTGTATCGTAAAATCCCTGTTGATCAAGCCCAAATTCATACCACTTAGACATTTAGACAGCTTAGAAACACTCATAAACATATTCGCATTTTAATTGACAAATATTAGTACAGTACAAAACTTTGGAGAGACCATGCTCCTTTCATGTATGAATTATATGTAGGAGATATTATGAAGTTACCAAGAGTAACGACTTACCATTGCATGTTCCCAACCAATTGCTAACACACCCATTCCAGAACTCTATTGGTATGTAGCTTATCTTCTTAGAGAAAGCCTATGCATGACCACACATGTAGACTCACTATTTACTGATGGTCTATGCTAATCTGAGGGTATCAGAGGGCAGGGCTAATACTGTAGCCTTCTCTGAGTAATTCTGAAATGGCTCACTCATATGTGAAAAGGATTTAAATGTTAAAAGCAGGGGCTATTAATACAATAGCAAAGCAATGTTGAGTTTATGTTGTATTGCTCCCACCTTTTAGAACAAGAAGTTCTTGGGCATGAAAAAGGAGTTCATCAAGCAAAACCAGGTATTTATTTTAATATTCACACTACACACAACCACTTGGCAAAGTAGTAGACACAGTTGCCAAACTGAGCAGAATAATAAGGCCCTGGGCATCTGGAATTATTGCTATTCTACACATATTGTATGCCATAAAATAAAATAAAATAAAATAATTCAAGCTTACTTGTGAATAAGGGCAGAATGGCATTTCCCTATTATTTAAGCCAAGAGCAAACCCAAGGACTGCATCCCAACATTACCTTTTTCTCCTTTTTCTCCATTGTAGTAGGGTTTTTAATTTCTTGCCAAGTCCAAAGAAATTATAAGATGTGCCATGTTATATTTATACTTGCTGGCCTGCTTTGCATGGGAATGTTTTTTTCTAAACCTGCAATTTAAATAGCCTTGTTAACCTGCTTGCTAATAATGTCCTTGCTACTATTCCATCTTTTTCTAAAGAGGTGGTATGCGCTTTAACATATTTTTATTTGAATTAATAGAATTTCCTAACTACTGTTAGCCAAATAGTTTAAATAATGCATTGGACCATTAAATGTGATTTATGCAGCAAATACTTTTTATGTTTATATTTTATCATCATTTTTGGAAAACAGTAAAAAATGTCAATAGTTCACATATAAAGAACTAGAGCTGTGTAACACTGTCCTTCTTAAACTATATTTCATAAAATACCAGTGTTCCCTTCAGGGATGTCTGCAAGGAGAAGGTCTAAAGTCCGGATGGTGACTACATCTATGTGATCAAAGCCTGCCTGTTTTTTACATGTGACTTGATACACATAAAAAGGGGTGGAGCTTTGATCACATGGTTGGTTTTTTTGATCTCCCTCCCTGCAGATACCCTTGGTTCTGTCAACAACTTGCAGGTGCTCCGCATGAATGTGCCTGATCCCAAACATTGAGCCTGAAGTCCCATACTTTAGACTTGGCATTCAGCATTCCCGGGTACAGCTCAGCTACTTGTGCTGCTGAGTGTAGTGGATTTCTTTCTGAAAAGGTGCAAAAGCAAACACAGAGCCGGTGGGTAACTCATTAAAGCAGCCATGTTTATTTCCAGGATTGTGCAGCTGCTTTGATGAGTTTCTGAATGTTTATTTATTTATTTATTTATTAAATTTAAATTTTACTTATTTATTAAGTTTATCTAGCTGCCATCTCACAGATGTGACTCTGGGCAGTGCACATAATTAAAATAACAGAACCAAACAATCAAAACAATTAAAAACAAAAACATTAAAATACAATTAAAACATTTAAAACTATAATAACATTAAAAAACGGGAGAGTTTTTTCTGAAACTTACAAACAGTATAACCATTTAGCAGGCTCCATACTTCCATGGGATCCCCAGGCCCAATGGCAGAACCAGCTTTTAAGGGCCTTCTGAAAGGCCAGTAAAGTTGGGGCCAATCTCATCTTGGGACAGAATGATATTCCAAAGGGTGGGCGCCACAGTAGAAAATGCTCTCCTCATGTGTCCCGCCAGACAAAGCTCCCCAGTAGATGGGACCCGCAACATGCCTCTCTTTCCAGACCTGATAGGATAGGTAGATGTAACTGGGGAGAGGCAGTCTCTCAAATGAAGTTTCCTGCAGAACTGTCAGAAACTCACATGTGTTGCACTCCAACACACTATGAAACACTTTTTCAGAAGCATTACATAGTGCTAGTATTAACTCTGACAGTAAGCCTCTTAATAACACAAAAACCAGTGGTTTTGCCACTCAGTGGTACAATCTGGAGGTGTTCTGGTGACCACAAAAAGTTGTTGATGGCTTTGGTCCAGATTATAAACTAACCCTTGTTGTAGCCCAATTTACTTCACAATCTTGTTTGGAGAATAAAATGAAAAACATGTGAATTTCCTCAGATAAGAGATATTTAAATGCAATAACACAATCTATAGCAGATTGTCACATTTAGAACTCTTTCATTCAGTGCCAGTAATGAAAATCTTTGTAATACATATCATGTTTTATTGCCATAGAGAGCATAATATTAAGTAATATAGTAAGAATTAGTTATACTGCAAAGTAAATGTAATTAAAAGAGGCTTTGGATAGATGATGTTAGAGAATACGAGCTGCAGCTGTTCTCAGGAGGCACCTCTTTTTATGATTCATGCAACCTATCCATGTGCAAAGAAGCAGTGTGTTCCCTATAGTGAATTACCGTGCTCAAGTTGCAGTTTGCCACAAAAAAGTATTTAAATATAAAGAATAATTGGTAAAAATTACTGTGGCTCTCAAATCCTTGCTAGTATTTCTGTGCCATTACAATATAGCCAACAGATGACAGAAGTTCTTCTGCATATTGTTTAGAGCAGGGTTCTCCAGAGCGGTCAGTATTGACCCCCAAGGGTCAATGGGACTATCCATTGTTGTTGTTCATAGTACTATTAGTTAAAGTAATATTTATTAAATTATTTTCATATAATAAATGTTTGGGGGTTGATGAACAATCTGAAACTTCATAAAGGGGTTGATGAGCTGAAGTGTTTGGGGAGCCCTGTTTAGAGGCTTTAACAGTTGCATAACATTCTTTAAGTCCTACAATCCCCTCCCCGTTTCTGTACTGCATCTCTTCCATGATCACAAAATGAACTCTTTCTGTTCACCTATGATCACATTATCCCTGAACTTGAATACAGATTTGGCAATGTGTTATGATAACACGACTTTCTCCCACAGAATTTAGTCTTGGTGTCAAGAAAGTTCTTGCCCCAAATTTCATATTTTATTCTTACTTATTTTGGAAAAAGATTGTGGAATTTTACACTTCTGTGATAATTAATATATAATTAATATTATAATATGGTGCAAATAGCTCGCTTAAATTTGTGTCCATAGGAGAAATTATTTCAAGCACAGAGGACAATTGCACAAGTGTACAGATTGCTACTCTTGAGAAAATGTCTTTCTAGACTGATTATTGTGTTATCAGTTATCTCCCATCTAGTGGGTAACTGAAGAACTCATAGGAACCCAAATGTATTAAATTAGCTAAATTTGAATAATCTATATATTATTTTATTTAATTTAGGGGAGGTAAATATAGTAACATTAAGGAAACCCTAAATTATCTACATCTGCATCTATCGATAATAATAGGAATAAACAAAAGTAATTGGCATTGTAGTTTAAAAGTCATTTTCTATTTCTATCTTTCTTTCATTACCTATCTATTTCTATAGATCTCTAATTAATTGCTTGTGGCAGGAGTTTATCCAATATATTCAGTTTTTCCATCAAAATAGATCAGAGTTCCTTAATGGGCACCCTCCAGCTGCTACTGTTATCCTGAACCAATGTGTCCACTGATCTTCTGTCTGATGGATTGTCGGAAGTATAATCCAACATATCTGAAAGACATTTTTTCAGGAAGGCTATTCTAGATCTGGAATAATAGGTCTAGACTAGCCTTTTTATCTTACAGGGCTATAAAATAAAATGACAAAAATCTAATTCATAATATCTACAATCTGCCAGAAATTCCTGTCAACTTCTACATATCTAAAAAGTTTTGATTTTCACAACACTTACATTTTCTCAAACATACTGTGTGCTAGATTATGGTAATTCAAAATGAAGGGTTTGCTTTTACAAATGAAATGTTTCTACATTAACAGAACAAAAGTGCCTTTCTTTACGAATTGATATGTGTAACATGCACTGTATTAATATATGTAACATACACTGAAAACAGGCCCAAACTCTCAAGGTATACAGATTTATATAGATGTACTCTTATTTTTCTCCTTATTTTTCTCCTCCTTTCTCTATCTATCCCCATCCCACCCAATAGAAAGACCAGAAAAACCATCAGCTGAAATCAGAGTAGCAGGTAAACATTATATAGCATATATAAATAGCAAAAATATTCAGCCACAAGAATCATGCATCTTGATGGAGCTTAATGTACCCAGAACTTCAACTCCTATAAACTAATGTATCTACTGAATACCATGAAAACTAATTACATTTGTCCTATTAAAAGATCTGCTTCAAAGTGTCAAGTGCTATTCTACAATTCTATTTTTATCACTTACTTTGTCTTCAAGGTAGCTGCAAGCTTTAATCACTTACTTGGAAGAATCTGGCTGTTAGTGTTTGGGAGGGTAATGTACCATGTGGGGAGATTATGCCAGGCTGCTCACAGCTGAACAGATAGAGACTGAAGTTGCATTGAAGTGAGCCGTATCCTATGGGGAGGGGGAGGGTGGCATGAACAGCTTTATGGCAGACTGCCAGCTACCTGCTGATGTTCTCAGCAGGAAATATCAGAGAGGTGGCCATGCTCTCGCTCTGCACCTTAGCTAATTTCAGTCTGTCTCCTTGTATGAAGTCACAGTTGATTGACGGTACTCGGGGATGCCTGAAAAAATGGATGCTGAAAAAAGACATCTGTCCATATTTCAAATCATTTGAGATATGATTCAATCAAAGTCCATATAAGAGCACGTAAATGTGCAAATATAAGGTCTATTTCTGACCACATTTACCTTTCCTGCTGCTGACAGAAGTCACAAGCATGTTTTTTCCAAGTCTTCATGAAATAATATGCAAATATCCAAGTCCCTAAAGTTTAACCCCTATGATCTGAAACTCTTTGCAGATAAGAAAAAAGCAGAAAAATCTTTGAAGGAAAAAAAGGAAAAATATGGTAAGGCTGGATTTTTTGTCTTCTAAAAAACTGTGAAAAGTAATTGCTCTCTGAATTTGCTAACATCCTCCCTTCCTCCCTTATCTTATTATTAGCAATGTGGATTATATGACTTTCAGTTTATATATTGTATTTGATTTTTCTTTTTCTTTTTCTCTTTTTTTCTTTTTTCGATCTATATAGGAAAAACAGTTGAAAAGATACCCTTGAAAGTAAAACATGCCAAAGGTAATATCTATCTATCTATCTATCTATCTATCTATCTATCTATCTATCTATCTATCTAATTTATAGTATATCCCACCATTCATTCAGGAGTTCAAGGCAATGAACTCTTTCTTCCTATTTTGCCCCTCAATAACAACCCTGTGAAGTAGGTTGGGGTGATGGACAGTGATGAGCCCACAGTCACCCAGTGAGCTTCAGTGGCTGGGGTAGACTAGAACCTTTGTCTCCTTCTTCTTATTCCAACAACTTACAACTGTCCTTACAAACCATAAATCTAGAAAGTTTACATTTAAGGGAAGAACAACAAGCTTCTAGATTTTTGTTTGAAACTGGATTATTGTGGTCTTTAGCTTTTCTAGAAATCAGTTAAAATCCTCTATAATTACTGTATTCTTAGGGATGAGGAATGGCCCTGAAAGTTCTAGGGGAAAGATGGGGAAAGATAGAAACATGGTTACTCATCCTTCATCATGGGTGAGGACTTTTAATTTTATGATTTTGTGACACAAGAGTTTTACTTCTACATTGTTGAAGTCTTGTGTACTTTGATTAAGGGCTAAATACTGTGAAATGTGTAGGGTTCTTGGAAGAGTAGCTCTGTGTGTGTGTGTGTGTGTGTGTGTGTGTGTGTG